GTCACTGCTTGGCCGCCGGTGGGGGGTTTGGGAGGCCTGCGCGCTACTTCGTTCACTATATCTACAGTGAAGACCTTCACCAGCAGCAGACATGGACGCACACACAGACAGGGACTCATACACACACATCACACACAGAGACCCACGCACTGCCTCAACTTACTCGGACACACACACACACATACAGAGACTCATATACACACGGACATAGATACACACACAGAGACCCACACACTACCTCAACTCACTCGACTTAAACACTTCACACTGAACACTTAACAGATAACTCACACTCTGACTTCCTACGTGATGAAAAATGCTTTCGGGCCACTCGTCGTCTAGTTTTAATCAGCCTCACATTCCTGTTTAGAGTTCTTGTTCCGCATTTGTATCATCCCACAAGTGAATTGGGATCCCAAGGCGCTATGATGAGGTGCCAATTCACTGGCGCATGAGTCCTTTCTCCGCATCCATGTGTGAAGATGAAAGCCAAGACTAAAGGGGCACCAGGTGTCCAAAACAAGCAGAGAAATGCAAACACTTTGGAAGATAGATGTTCACCGTAAGAAAAAACAACATATTTTTGGCTTTTAAAGGCCAGTGTTGCGTGAGAATAGTGTGCAATTGAGCGTGTTCATGGGTGCATTGATCAAAGGTAGCCCACTGAGGACTTCATGCATCTATGCAGATAGATGCGGAGTGCTTGGTATCATTGCGGAAAGCAGTGAAAGGAAGCTAGGTACATTAGGTACATCTACCCATCAATACCCATCAACTGAGACGGGTGCAGCATGATCATCATGGCATGCATTGCCATGGTGCCAAAGCCCTGCCGTCGCCCATCACCCCCATCCCTTTGCCACAACAATCTCACCGTTTCGAAGGGATCGATCCATCTGGAAGAAAAGAGGATCGATCAGGCCGTCTGGGGAAAAGTGGGACTGCACATGACACAGTGGAAAGCACCTGAGGGAGCTTCCCAGCTGAGCAGATCTTTGATGTCTTTTGCTACTTGGTTGGCTGAAGTACTCAGCTGAAGAAGATGAGTCGTTTTTGACGAAATCTTCCAGGTAGGGGTCAACATGAAATGACATCAAGGTAGGCGTTTTCCCAGTTTTTCAGGAAGTGTCATTCGGTGACCATTTTTCATTTGTTCCAAGCTAGCTTTCTTCAGTGCATGTATTTTTCTTAGCTGCGGTATTGCAGAAAAGGGGAAGACCAGTAGCCCGATCCTTTGACGGTCTGCTTCTTTTCGGACCAAGGGCATCGCTACTAGGAACAAGTGCCTTACTAGTAGTAACACGATACTAATTAAACTTAATTGTTCTTTATTGTTTCTAATAGCAAACATTGCTCCTAGTAGTAAGGCCAGGAGCCCCTAGTAGCGATGCCCTGTTCCTACCCGATCCTTTGATGGTCTGCATCTTTTTGCTTTAGCTCATATTGATTGGCCAGGCTGCTTTTCACTTCAATCACGGCGGACGCGCCCAAGAGCAAGGAATGCCAACACATTTTCATTTCATAATATCATATGTCTATTTCTACTCTAAGGAGCCGGTGGAAAGGGTAGCGACCGTCAAGCACGAACTTACCTAGCAAGTCTGTTGATTGTGCTTGTTGCTGTGACTGTAAACTACTGTAAAGGTTCAGTTTCTTCTCTGTTTTTGACTTGCATGTCACATGCCAAATCTCTGGAAAGCTGCATGTGACTGGGCAAGTTATTCTCCGTCAAACATCAACTTATCTCCAAACACCTTCTTTGCAATGAACGTCCTCTTAACCGACACACCAAGGCCTGTACTGTTTCAGCGGAACCGTAGCGCAGCGCCATGAGAAAAGCACACCTGGACGGATCTAGATGGCGAGAAAAAGGGTACAAAGGAGCCAAACGCAATCAACGATGTCCTTTCCGGAAGAGTAAAGAAACACAGTAATTGAAAACGACAACAACAAACACACATATCTTATTCTTTTTATTGTTTGTTTATTTGCATATTTTATTTGTACATCGAGGGGACCATGCCAGGTACCACGCACCTATTGGTTGTTGCTGGTTGCCTGGTTGAGTATCCCCTTCTATTCCACTACAGCGGCCCAACCGGAGGAGGCGGCCGCCCGAGCCCCGACTGGGTTGGGGGGGAACCCACTCAGTCGCGGCAGTCGCCATTCTCACACCCAATTCCGTCGTGACTCAGTGGTGGGTGACTCAGGGTGACAATCAAATGGTCTTTTGAAACATCTTGGAACATCGAGAAGACATCATGAAATGAAGTAGACCAGATACGCATCTACTACGTTGCGTATCTGGTCTACTATCGGTCGTGGCAAAAGCCTGTTTGGCACATCAAAGTACATACGACATCATACGACTACTTCCTCTTTCATCGCAGTGTCGACTCGAGTTGAGTGCGGCAGGTCTTTTGGCTGGCGGATCTGGTGTCTCATCCAAAGTTTGATGGGGTCGAAATTTGGGATCAGCGTTGCATGGCAATGCACCCCCATCGAGCCCGTCGAGCAGCTTGCACCGCCAAGGCCCAAAGTTGGGCTGCTTCAGATTTTTAAAGATGATCTTGATTTGAAGCTGCGAACAAAAAACAGTTGACTGAAAACATGGCGAATGCTGGATGCTCACGTAGGGTCAGGAAAGACTAAATAAATTAGAGGAGTGACGACCTTGTGCGTACTCTGACAAAAATGGATTTGGAAGCTATTGGCAAAGCTTCACATTGGGTTCGCGACTCTTGCGCTGTCCCGGAAAATACTATGCACCCAAGCAGAATGTGAGAAGACATTAATCATTAATTGATCCACTGCCAAAACCGGCTACAGTAGAACATTCTTTATACTGCATCGTTGTATTCTCGAATAACACCTGCATTTGGGGGCTTTGGTTGTAGCTCAGTTTGATAAGACATGAATTACAAAAAGTTAGCTTTGACCTAGCCTGTGCAGCAAGCGATCAGTCGCGCTTTCCACATTTGCCAAGTTCTTGTCCAGCATCTCTTCCATCAATTGTCTGATCCGGCCATCCATTTTCTCCAAACTGCCCAAGGTGTTGATGATGTACTCGAAGATTTTTCTCCTCGTGCAGTAACTCAGAGAGATAACAAACCACTCAAATCGCTGCTCCAAGCTAGCCTTCACTAGTCTGAGCCGACCAAAATCCTGTGGTCCCACACAGTCTTTCTCCTCGTGGTGCTTAGCCAGCCAAGTTCCGAGCTGTTCGAGTCACTTGGTCCATGTGCGACGTGGAGTTTTGTGGACGATCAGGTGGGATCCCGGGACAAAGCAACTGTACTTGCAATCTGTGTACTACACCCCAGCATGGCAAACCAAATCACGCATATTTTTCAGCAACCTCCTGCAAGAAAAAGCAACAGTTGGAAGATCTGAGCCAAGATTCTTGGTCTTCTTTAAACATGTTCCGCACAAAGGACCTGTTTTTCTGGGTGCCCAACCTCCTCGCAAAAATGGACGCCCATCCCTTGCGGCAAACAGGATTATTGGGTGAACCATCCCATCATCTGCTGAAGCAAGTGTCTTGTCTTCATCACTTGATGCCTGGCACTTCGCCACCTCTAGGCACTCGATCTTCTTGCCCACTTCCAAGGCAATGTCGAACGAAGTGCATCCATCCTGCAATGGAAACCGCTGCACGGTCTGGAACCGCTTCACGGTACGTGACACCCCGGCTGCAGACATGGTCGACGGATCCCAGGGGTTGATTCTCGCGGACTGCGGACTTGTGCGGTCAGTGACGTTCGGACTTGTGCGGAATGGTTTTCGGTCGACGGTCTGGTTTTCCGAAGGGTCTCACGACATGGGGTTTCGACCTCAAAAAGGCGAACTGATGAGCGAACAGTGCTATTGCAGTCGAACTCCCCCCCGGACCAAAATGAGAAACCATTGTGTGTTGATTGTGTTTAGACAAAACGATAACCAGAGTTGTTCCAAAAAACCCTGAACCCAAAGCTGAGCACCATTACCGACCCCCGGACCAACGATGCAAAAACCGTTGTGCGCAACAAAATGCGACCGAAGCGTCGTCACCTACGACTCCCACGTCAGTCGTGAAGACCAGCTCCAGCTGCTCACGACTGGAGAGGAGGAACTCGAACAAGCACCAAACTCCTGAAGCAGTCTCTGCGCACATGAAGACGTGTCTTTTGTGTTCTCTTTTAGCTAGTTGTGTGTCTTGTTTGTTTTACATTGATCGAAATGCATGATATGGTGGTAGTCTTATGATGGTCTTGTCTTCATGATCGCGTCTGTTCGTGGTTCCACAGTAGAACTCACGTGCTTCTCCGTCGTTTTTTTTCGCATTGGCCTGGCTCAGTAAGGACAGATCTCACAGCATATCCAGAAAAGCGAACACATTCAACAAAACCAAAACAAACATCCAAGACGAATGCGGCACATGTTAATACATATATAGTCTAAGTTCGCTTCAACTACGCACGATTCATGGGGCCGGCCCATTTGACACCCGTCTTGAAAGGACATTGCTGTTGGGTGATTGGTAGTCCAAAAAAGGTGTCATATCAGTTCTAGGAATGTCAACAGCATGTTCACTTGTCTCTGCTTGCTTCTCCCCATGCCATCAAGACTCGTGTAAGCGGTTGCACTTCGTGATCCAAAACCATGGCAACTCCCTTGATACCGCCCCGCAAAGCCCTTGCAAAAGCGCTATCCATTGGATCGTCAGCGAGTTCGGCTGCAATATTCCACTGGTTATTGGCCTGGGCCAGCAGAAATGAAAGCAATGAGCACCTGGAGCTTAGTGCTGTAGGGTAAAGCAACACAACCACACATCAAATACAAATATTCCTTCCCTGCCTTAGGATGCACAAAGCTTGCAACATGCCAATGACAAGAAGTCTGAAACTAAATGCCTTGCTAGGACTCTGTCTCTCTCTCTCTCTCTTGTGAGATCCCAGACTTTCAAAGCAATTGAAATAGCTTCAGTCGGAACTGATCTGAAAAGCAAATCCAATAGGCTGCCCAAAACAAAGTTCAGTTCCAAGTGGCAAAGGAGCAAATCCAATAGGCTGCGTCGATCCAAGATGTAGGGCCTTCCTTGGACAGGGCATGGCAGCGGATGGAGCGCACGAAGTGAGCGAAGCTCGTGCCCCACGAGTGTGACCTCAGCTGTTCAGGGCGGGGTACTGACAGCCTACATGCGTTCTGCACGTTCACAAGACCCATGGTGGATGGCATGGAACATGAAGACTATCGAACGCACAAAGACCGGGTGGAACACACTTGCAGTGAGTCCGAATGTGACCAGAGCAGTCTTAGCAGGGCGTAACACTGATGGTCCACGCTCTGATTGCCGAAGGCATGGCGTGCCTATCTCCATCAGCATTTGTTAATGTCTATCTCCTTCGTAGGTCATGGTTCATTTGCAGCTACTTCCCTTGTCAAATGTATCACCGACTGAACTTGGAAGCCACATATTGACTCATGATCATTTCTTCGGTGATTCAAGCGACAGCATACTTCTTATGCGTAGATTCTATACCTTTCATGGAGGCGGGTCAATGCGCAACTACCGTTCATGCCCCCTCGAATCCCACACAAACAGGCGGTTCAATTCTTGCACAACAAACATCCGCCATCAGCTTCATGATCCAAGGGACACAAAGTAGTCCACCTGCTTGCCACCCCAAAGAGTCACGAAGGACACGCCTTTACTCTGCGTCAAGGGCCTTACAACGTTGGCCACGACAAAATGCATGTTCCGCTCCAGAATGAAGCCTCACAATGCTCCACACGTGGAAGATGGTTGTGGTCGCTGTGATTTGTTCCAACATCAGGGTGTCTTTCAAAGTCAACTTGAAAAAAAACATCAAACTGAATAAACATCAAACTGAATGTACATTTACATGAAACAACCCACACGAAAACTTAGCTGCCGAAAGCAAAGAAGCTCTCGAAGTGCTTCCACAGTCCGCGCAGTGTAAGGACCAACAGGCCCTGGTTGCGAGGATGGGTTGCATCTGGGCCTGGATGAGGTTTGCAGTGGATTTGTTTCTGGTAGTCATCCAAAGCTTCTGAGAAGGGCGTTCTGCGGTACAGGCGTTGAATGAGCCATAACACCGGCCAGTGCAGCACTGCAGCCACAACCGCCATTGGAAGAGCAATGTAGAACACAGCGGTGACCTTGTCTGGGATGTAAATAAGCAAAGGGTTGCTCCCAAGCAGGGAAGGCAACTCCATACGAACACAAACTAAACCAAATTCACCGTACTTCTAGGATGCAATAACCAGTGACTTTTTCTAGGATGCAAAAAGTAGACTGTTGGTCCTAAACAAACAACAATCCGGTGAAACACAACAAATGCACTAGGCAATATCAACAATTATACTTCTCAGATGCTCTCCAAGTAGCGACTGTATGTTCGAAGCGGTTTCTGGACATGACTGTGACTCTGATAATTGTGGGCAGCATTGCAAACAAAAACACCAAGACGATTAACAACGTGAAAGACACACACGTCTCAGTAGCGTGCAGGGACCCCCTGCAGGAAGCGCAATCAAATGGCACGTGTGCATCTTGAAGCAAGAGCTTCCTCTGCGCCACGCTGCGCACCTTGATTGCCTTCGGCTTTTGTGGATCAAAATCCAGCCACTGCAAACCAGTTCCCCTTGCACGATAATGCACTCTCTGGTGCAATAGTTGAGACATGCTCTTTGGAAGGCTGGTGATAGGACCCTTCACTGAGACGGTGAAAATCCTTTTGGCTGCCATGTCCGACGGGTCTTCCAAATCAGACCTGGCATCAAGAATCACCAAAGGAGCGTGAAGGATCTCGAACACGATGAAGGTCAGGATCACGAACACTGCTGCACCTGTGAACAGGATTACACGCTCTGGACTTTCGCGTGGTAGCACATGGCAAACATCACGTTTGCCATCAGACCAAGGTCGGTAGATCTCACACGTGCGACAAAGGCCATCCTGGAAGTAGGAGTGCCTGTTGCCTCAGGAATGCAGGTAAAAGCACCCCAAAAAACAGGATCGACCGGAGTTGTGATCTGAATCACTTTTGCTCAACAAAAAAGTTCACAGTAGCCATCCTTTGCATGTGAACGATTGGCAAAACCATGTCATTCTGCCAGTTGCTAGTGAGTTGCAAAATCTGCACGTCCGGAACACGTCTTCGAGAGATACTAGCTCTGTATTGCGGAACTGCTCGCTGGTCGTCCTTCGATGCGTTTGAGACGTTTGACGTCAAAAAGGGACCCCTTACATCAAGGGAGCCAAGAGTTTTTTCTTGCAAGTAGGAACAAGAAGCTACGAACGGGGCTCCTGGCATCGCTACGAACGGAGCAAGTAGCTAGGAACAAGACAACCGTCTCCAGTCTGGACATGCTTGGTCTACATGTTGTCACACCGAGCCATCAGCCGGTCTACAATTGAAGATATGTTGTTGTCATTGGCGGGCCCCCTTGTCCACTTCCGCATCCAAATTTGCGTCCGTGGCTAATCAGTGGGCCTTCTGAATCAAACACAAGAGGCCAACAACACCTTTCTCTGAGTTCAGAACGCAATGAAACAATACCTTTCATTGGGCTTTCGACAAAAATCCACCGAAAACTACAAACAATCAAAAGGAACGCATACGACCCATTTTTGCACAAAGAATCCGATAGTCGCTGCAAGCACAGCGTGGTGTGAAGCCACCTGACCTGTGAGGCAGGTAGCGTTCGCTTGGGGAAAACCGCAACTAGTTGTGTCCACGACCTCCCAACAAATCAAGCGAACAGCAACTTCTACCGAACAGCAATCGAGACGGTGGGATTTGAGACGGTGCAAAAAGGGGTAGCAAACATTTGTACTGTATCAGATTTTTTTCCTTCTCACCAAGTGGCACGGTGAAGGTCTTGGAGCATTGGAGATTTTCAGGGCTCAGAGCTTGCAAGGTTCCATCCGTTGCATTGAAGGTCACTCCCTGCGGACAATCCGGGCATGAAATATGCAAGGAGTCGATAGTGAAGTTCTCCTGCAGGGAAGGCTTTTGAAGAGTCAATGCTTCTTGGCAAAGGTTGGGTTACTAAACATATGTTTTCTAGAACGTCTTGAACGTTGCTGGCAGAGGATGCCTTTTGAAAAGCGCAGCATCCGAACCTAGGTAGCTTCCCAACCGATTCCAACTTCTCATTTAGCAAGGATCGCAAACTTCGATATCTCTGCAGAACATGGGACATTCTGTATCTTCATTCTGTATTAATTATATATATATATATATTACTGCTATGACTGTTACTATATCATATCTTCCCTTCCCTGTGAGGCAAGAACCAACAATCTCGGTGCAACACTGGCAGATCCTGAGCTGCTAGGATCTGCAGATTGTCCACTGGCGGCTGGTAGTGGATGTTGACATTGTCAACCACAACATAGCTGGGGCGTGTGGTGAGGAGAGAGCTATTCCAAGAGCGCAAATGGATGCCTGAGAGGCGCACTTCTTCATGAGGGCAAGCTTTTACTGATAGAAGGCCTGAGCTCAAGCGACCAGTTGCATTCAGGGCTGCGCCATCTGCCACTTGGAACGTGGTGTTCGCGCAAAGAGGGGAGCAGCCTGCATTTTGCAAGTCCAACCCATGCCCACCATTGATGTCTATGAGGACTAAATTTGAGTCGGGATGTAGTTGGAGGCAGCTCGCTACCAAAACAGCAGAGTTTGCATCGCCTTCTGCATGATGAATGTCTAAGCTGGACTGAGATGAAAGAAGCGCCATGCCATCCACATGACCTGCAGAGCCTGTCCGCACGGCAGTCGAATTGGCCATCGACATTGAGCTATTGTGCATAGCCAGTGCAGTGGCAACCTTGAACCCACCACCGTCGACCCCTGCATGGGTGTCGGACATGGCAACTGTAGATGCATCGGAAAGTGCAACACTGCCGTCAGCATAGAAACCTCCACCATGCTGTCCTGCTGCAGCATGCTGAATGCTGACTGTTGACTTGCTCATGGAAACCTTGCCACCAGCATAGAATCCACCACCGTCTCCAAAGACGGCGTGGCTGTTGGAAATCTTCACCGTCGAAGTCCCAGCAATCTTAACCTTTCCAAGGGCAACAAACCCTCCTCCAAGATTGACAGCTCTAGTGTGCTGAATGT